TGTGTTCCGCTTTCAGCAGAGGGCATTGCATACATGGGTACCAAAACCCAAACTCCTGAAAGTAAAATGGGCTTTGCATTACACTTTCAGGCTCTGAGTCAGACCTGTTAGACTCAGATGACTGTCAGTTGAATTCAAGTCTACCCTAAAAAGAAGGAGGGTAAGTTGAGCTACATGAACTATCCTGACCCTACCTCCCATAAAAAACGAGCCTGCAAACAATGGTGTTTACTGTCAAGGGTGGTTATCATCCAATTCATTAAATTTATATTGAGATTATGTAAGGGCAATTACACAACTGCAATTCCCCCTTTCTGTCCTTCATTTTGGCTCTCTTAAAAAGCCACAGTGTCCTCAAATCTCACAGAGGAAATGGAGCATTTCTGAATCAGAACATTTTTGCTGATGTACCCAGCCTTGGCTCACAAAGGACAAAACGAGGCCCTTATTAAGCTGCCCCTTTGCCAGGCCACATGGAGGATTTGCGAGTTCAATGGGATCTGCAGGAACAACAAGGGAACAACGAAACTCTTCATTCTGTCAGGGAAGCATGGCAGAGGATACTAAACCTACGGCCTATTTTTCTAGACAAACTAAGCAACTTATTTGAAGCCTAGGGTAACATGAAAGTGCCATTTTATTTACCCAGCGTGTCTAAGCTGAAGCCTCGCATTATCTTCACACAGATAAACTTGAAACAAAAGGCCTTGGCTGACTCAATGTTTCCAGCAGGGTTAGGAGTAGAGGGATTTTACAGAGCTGTACCATGTGTCTTGGCCAGTACCGCACTGACTCATTATTAGCAATCAGTGTTGGATCTGGATGGCTTTAGCTGCTGTGGTTCTGCGGGGTAAAAGCTCCCATGATTGTGAGATGTTTTTCAAGCTGCTCATCTCTGTAATTTAGCAATTCGGTTTGATTATTGTGGGGGGACTGACTGCACCCAGAATAGCTCAGGCCTATGAGAAAAAGGGGGCTTACTAATGATTTCTGTTTCATAAGACCTACAACTTGCTACTCAAGTGCAAAAACACATTCTTGGTGGGGCTGATCCACTAGAGTTCTCTCTCTGCCGGGACGGTCTTACTGATGTGTCCCCCTAAGGAGAAGTTTTCGGGACTGCAGTGCTCCAGGTGAAGGGGCCCTTTCTGTGTTATGTTATACAGCAGCAGGTTTCACTAAGGTGTTCATTTCAAGAAACCTTTTATCTCCTTCTCGCAGCCCTCCAGACTCCATCTGAGCTCCATAAATCAAAGTGGCAGAGTTGTGGGGGTCAATGTGAGAGGGGTCTTCTCTTGTTCACTCTGTGCTTGTCCTGGATCAGCGAGTTGGGCATTGCGAGCCGGATCATTTATTTTACATATGTACTACTACATGTTCACTCGTGCTTGTGCTAAGTTCTCAAAGCTCTTGCATTCCATTTCCAAAAGGGCACAATGAAAAACGGTGAGTGATAGACCATGTTCGCGCCTCCTGAAGCTACAGGTTTCTTTTCGCTATTTCCTGTCCCGCCAATCTTGCTAAGACTTGCCCCATGTGTTCTGCTTTATGGAGTAATAAAAAAAGCGTAAAAGCTCTCATCTATTCTTGTTAACAGCACAGTGTGTGCTTGTTTGAGTGTGACAAAGGGTGAGAGAAAGGCTGGATATTAAGAGAATTTGGAGCAGCCCCCATATGTAAACATTTACGGTTTGTCTCAAGCTGCTGGTGTGATTACAGAGGTCGTACTGTACAGAGGCAGTCGAATGGAAAATGCAGAGCACATGAGTATGGCCTACTTGCTGGAAAGCATTTCCCGACCACTCTGCTTCATGGTATTAGCAGGGCGCTGCCTCTCGAAACTAATGTGTTACATCTCATATAGAGGCTTGTGAGGAGATCCAGTCAACATCCGTCTGCACTCTGTTCAAGTTTGTTTATGGGTTTGCTTATCTCCAGATTGAATAGATGTTTCGGCGGCGTAGAATGACGCAATGGAAACTGAACCAGATGAAGTGAATAATTATGTTTGTAAGCAGTATGTTCACGCTTATAGTTTTGGAATACCAGTCATGTGATATCATCACTAGTCATAGTTTTGAAGGACTCATCCAGAACAAACCCTCTTGTTTTGATGCGTCATGCGTTTTGCTGATTGTTACTTCTATGGGGAATTGGAAAAATCACTCATGCCTGTTATTACTCCAAGCATAGACTTTGCCTGTGTGTGGGATGCTAATATCTCTCTACAGAGGCTATGCTAGCTTTAGTACACGAGTCTTAAGAGTGGTGATGGTGATGTGCAGTGTCAAATCGATGGATATCATTCGTTTTCAATTAGAGTTTGCCATTTTAAAAGATAAGCAATGCAGAGCCTACCAACGTGAATGCCTTCAGTGATCTTCCCCCCGATACAGATTTTTATCTCTGCCGATAGGAACTGCTTCGCTGAGTCTTGAAGTTTGATGTTCATGTCTTTGCCTTCTATTTTAGGGCATCATCATGAAGTTTTAACAGAAAATGAAACAAGACTAGTACCCAGCTTCATGGGAGGTGTTGTTCTCATGAAAAGCCAGAGCTTGGGGAAAAAAAAAGGTTTCATAATAAGCATCACAGCCACAGGAATGACAGTGGCAAAACATAGCTGGATGTGTATTTAGCCATGTACTACACTGTATTCCCCCTCAAACCTTGCCACACTAAATTTGGCACTCATTTCCCTCAGCTGGTCACTAGGAGTATGTTTCCTTGGGTTTTATACGAATACATATTAGTCATTTAACTGCTTCTGTTCCTTACCGAGACTTGCAATGGAGGTTCAACCTTCACTCAAATTGATACTTGTTTGTATACTGTATATCTGTGTATAATACCATGATGTCAGCCTGTGCCAAAACAAAACCAAACCCTATTTTTCTTGTCTAGTATATTGTGGAGTCATTGTTTGAAGCAGTTACTGGAAACACAAGCCACTTGCATCTAATTAAGTAAACTAGCGAGACAGTGGACAAGACTCAAGGGTTGCTCATGCAGTGTTTCCTCTACATTCATTCTCCCGTGGCGGGCCGCCACACTTAAAATCCTCCCGCCACGGCTGCAGCTTCTCAGTGACGTCCGATATTCTGCATAGTATTATGTTATTTTGTTAAGCCCCACTAAAGGCATAAAAAACTTTGTAAAGCACAATCAAGTTTTCACCCTATATTCCAAGACTTCTAAAGTCATTGCATAATGTGTAATTTTAGTCGCTAAGTTAAAGTTAACGGAAAGTCATCTCGCCTCAGTCATTCTCCATTCAGAATTCACACAGCTCGTCGCGTTCGTTTGCGACACGGCGACACTCTCTTCAAGGTCAATATTCCCATTATTATACTTAATTTGTAGATAAAGCATAAAGGTCTATGGTTTTCATAAAATGACTTTATCTTGCTGGAGTGGAGTTTATTGCCCATACCTTTCACATTCCCTTTATGTAAGATTACAGCATGGAGTCGAGAGAGTGCTATTGTTCTTCATGCGCACTGAAATTTAAAACTGTTAAAAGAAAAGGCTCAAAAAACTGTTGCATATAGAATACACTAAGCATTAGTGCTGCACGATTAATCATATCGCAATCGTAATAGCGATCTCAAACCTATGCAATTATATAACGCAAAATGCCGCGATTTTATATGAAATAAACAAATTAGGGCTATTAACGCAGCATCTCTTCTTTTTTATCATCCTTTGACTAGTGTTACACGATCCTGTTCTTATTCGTGCAAATGCCTTTTCGCATTTTGCACAAGAACTGAAAAGCTGCCTGTGAATGCCCTAAATGAGACTCGCAGAAAGACGCGCGCCATAATGCGCATGCACTGACGCGTGCCAGTTCTCTTTCGAGCTTGAACGAACAATAACACACACAATTATGCCAAAATGTCGTTTTGTCGAGTATCTTCATAACGTAAGAAAAGTCTTAAGGACGAAAGGAGTTGTGCTATGAGGCGCATGTGAGATCCGCGTCTCGGCAACGGGTGCTCTTAAAGGGCCAGCAGCGAATAAAGCGTTCTGTCAGTCAAGTTAAAAGAATAAAGGGAAATTAGAAAATTACTCACTGATCTGGACTAAAGAACTTTTGTAGCTTTAATAAGGATTATTCTATATATAATTTATAATTCATGCAGCACATACTGTTTGATAACTTTATTCAATTTCTGTATCCTACCTGTTTAGACAGGAAGGGCACAGGTAAATATGGTTTTTATTATGGGTTTATGTGGGGATTGTTTGAAGTTCACTTAATTTAAAATTTGTTAAATTTTTTTTTTAGCCTAATAATTTTTTTTTTTAAAGTTGATAGCTTTCACTGTAATGATGGTTTGGTTGATGGTTTATTGATCATTATAGGTGTTGTCTGTAGTTTGAGTTGAGAAATAAACATTAATACACAGAATGATCACTAATCTGTGTGTGCATTTTACTTTAGAACCAAGCAAGTTGGACTCATGAAACCATTTTATTATATCGGAATCGCATATCACAATTGCAATATTGACCTCAGTAATTGCAATGGCAATATGACATTTTCCCCAAATCGTCCAGCCCTACTAAGCATATTATAGATATAATCCCTTCGCTATGTTCTTTTCAATGTGAAGCATTGCTTGCTGTGACTTGGTGTTGCTTCAAGTGCATCATTCTGCACACGGGATGCGCATGATCGATTATAATACTTTGGGGAGACAAGGCCCCCCCACCGGGGAAATGGGCCTGCCCCCACAGCTTGGAAAAATCCTAGAGGAAACACTGCTCATGGGTCAATGCAAAATAAGAACTCATAAGACAATGAAATGGGGATGTTTTTAGAAACGAATTATTTTTATTCATGTTCATTTCATACTTAAAACAGAATTGACCTGAATTAGCCTTACCTCCAAATATCTGATATTTCAGTGAACTTTGGTAGACAAAGTCATGGTGGTCAGGGGTCCTCGATGATATAACTTCACATTTTTATTTTATGCTTTTATGTTTTCCAGGGAATGAAAACCCTGAAAGTTCTTTAATCCATGGAACAGATCCAGGGCTTCAGCCAATCAGAGTGAGGACGGGGTTCATCTACAACCTCTCCCAGGCCACGCCTTCTTCTTGCTGAGAACCCTTGGCTGCAGAACTTCGTGGCTGTTATTGTCCTATTTTAAGGCCAGTAAACAAATGTTTTCTATGTCAGTTAAACCCTCAATGTCATCCATTATCTAAAGATAACGAAGTGTGATGATGCATTTGAACGTCAAGGTTATTTCAATGGTCATTTGACTGCCCCCATATGACTACATTGACACTTCAGTTAGCATGAGGCTATTGAAATTGTTGAGGCACACATAATTTAATATTTATCATGCACCATAGATATTCCTAACAATAAAATAATACGAAATCTTTATGATTTCTTTCAGGTACAAGTCATGGTTAAACATTGCAGGAACATGTGGTGGATCAGCAGCTTCTTTATGGCAACAAAGAACGACAGACACAAAGCGGACAGAGCAAACTCCACAAGTTGACGGCCAAGACTCCCCTTCGTAGAACATTACCTCAGTTTTCATCTAGTTAGGAAACTGCAACATCAGTCAGCTATTGATTGACAGGCTTAATTTTCCTCTCGCTAGTCGTGTGATAAGACAGCAGTCTGGGCCAAACGCTTCTTGACCCTGACTGGCCGTTGCCATGGCTTCTGTTCCCATGACTCCTGTTCCCATGGTTCCTCTGCCTTAAAGGGAAGTTTGTCTGATTAGCTGAACAATGGTGTTATTTTGGGTGGTTCCTCCTTTTTCGGCTTGTTTTGCTTTTGGTTGTATCTGCACATATAAGCATTGACACATTCTCTATGGTCTACTCCTTTCTAGTGAGTAAGTAAGTACAGCTTTTAAACTTCTAACATTAATAAATCTAATTGATTTCAAGGTCTTCTAATCTCTAATTATTTCAGCTTCATTAGCAGATTGTGCTGACAGCGCAAACGACGATCTTTTGCTCTCTCCGCCAGCAGATAAAGTCAGTTTTGACTACCCATTCCGCAATGCTGAGTAGGTGTTCTTTCTGTCTGTCTTTCTCTTTCATCCTCTTTCTGTATATCTCTCCTCCCTTCCCCCCATAAGCAGGCTGATAGGCTGAGAGTTCACATGTTTTGACAGATCATTTAATGGTTGACCTGTGGCGATATCGCTGCCTGTGCCTGTACCGAGGGGAGGAAAACTCTCCCTCCTTCCAAATAAACTCCTTCTTTCCCTGCAAAGCAGAAGGCTCTGGAGAATAATACATTCATAGGGAATTTAAAAATCAGAGCAGAGAGTCATGAGATTCTGACATGAGTCTAAAATCCACAGTGATCTGTACTCATCCCTCACATCGGGCTTTCAATGAGTGCCACAATACAAACCAACCACAGCATGCACACACATTGCTTGGGGCTTTATTGTTCTTAGAGATAACACTGTTAAATGATTTCTGTCGAATATCAGCATATTCAAAATTAGCCTTGATTCTTTTGCAGTGTTTGCTTTTGAATTGATACAACTGGATACGCATGACCTGAAGTCAGTTCTGTTTCAGAACCTTTTGTTTTGTTCTTGGCTCATTTAGTCTTGAGGTTAAACCAACAACCACACATTCCCCTTGCTCAAAACTCCCCAAAATGCCCCTTTTATATACACATTAGAATAAATCGTTTCAATTTTTTTGACATTGTGAACTCTTCTTTGTTTACTCATTGCACTCTGAAACACTCAAAAAGAGCTGATAGAGGAATTGCAAAGTCTATGGTGCGAGTATTGCTCAACTGCGACTTTGGCCTTTCTCGCGTCTGTTCTTAAAGGCCCAGTGACCCACAGCCCTGGTGTGCATATACACTGACTGCTGTGTGCATTCTTAACAGAATACCTTTTTTAAACAGCAACAACACTTTTACCAATTGTGACATCCCCAAATACGGGATTGCTGTTATGCTTTGCTGCATAATTTTTTTTTTTTTAATGGATTGCTTCACCTAAAAACGCAATGATAAAGTCTCTAAATTGAGACCCAACATACTGTAAAGTAGGGGTTTTTAAACTTTTTGAAGCCACAGACCCCTCAACGCTGGCGGGGAAAGAGTTAAAATATAAAGGCAGCTACTTGAATGAAATATGTACTGAAATGTCTAAGGTTTTACATTTTAAATTAATTTTCCAAGACCAAAAGCTAAAGCAGTGAAAATGCTAAAATTTCTACTACACAGATGGCTATCTGGCTCCTATCTGCCATGATTCTATTCATGATCACAGCTTTCCTCAGGAACTTAGCTTGGTATTCTCTCTCTAAGGCAAATTAAACTACAACCCAGCAAGGACTGACAGTGCTTGTTTAGTGACGTAGGGAGCAAACACGTAGACCCCTCCTGACTGTTGCTACAGTAACAAACTGTCTGTTCTCAAGAGGCCTGTTCTTTCTATCTAGTAGTCCAGTCATTGCCAGTACTTTTGAAAGCAGCCCACAGATTCCAAAAGCCATTGACATCAGTGCCAAGGAAAGACATAGTTTAGGGGCTTTCACATCCTTACTATTGGGCCGGGACAGATTTTTGATTTCCTGTATACGAGCACTTTTCCAGGAAAGCAGTTCGAGCATTTTAGCTGGTTTAGCCCCCCCTCCCCCCTTCATATGGCATAGAATAATAAGCACAGCTGTTTGCATTTCTTAGTTTAGTTTATTACCCTTGCGATGCCAAACTTACAAAAACTGTTCTGAAAGAGTCATTCTTGGTTCTTTTGTCACATTTATCAAGCTTGTCATTCATGTGGAAATAAAACACGATGTCGGTTTGCTTATAAATAGGTATTTTATTGGTTTAAACTGCAATCTGTCATTACAAAAGAAAACATATTGATGTGAACAGCAATTGCTGCTAACATAGGACACATTCAAATGTAGCTCTCTCAATGTCAATCCTGTTAACCTCGAATTTCCACTAAAGATCTATATAATGAACTCTGGATTACAACCCTACAAGGTACAAGACTCTTGGAATGTACTGTTAGGCACTTAGCAACTTAGCAAGAAGAAGTGGTCCAAAATCTGTAAATAAATAAGAATTTTGAGTCATAACAAATCAAAACAACACATGCTTGCTGGTGTACGTAACATGGTTTCGAAACGGGCAAAATAAATACACAAATGCATATTTCACAATTCCCTTATTAGCCGTCCATTTTAGACATGTCAGATCAGAGGTTTGGACCACCGCGGGGGTCATGAGATTGGTACTATAATGCATTTATTGTCTGTAAGTCTTAGTGAGAGGATCCCAGTCTAAACATCAGATTTATAAAATCACAGGCACAGGACTGTTATAGTCAAGAAAACTCAGTTTACATTCTAGACGGTCGGAGCCAAATAAAAAAGGATTACAGAGGAATAAACATCTTGAAACTGCAGTCCAACATTAGGGAGAAAAATAATAAATAAATGCAAAACAATCCTCTTGCATTCTCATTTTAAATTAAGCTTCACTTTAAAAATAAATCAAAATGTAGTTACAAAATGTCATTGCAGTATAATATATTAACTGTTGAAACTTAACGAAAAAGGTCTTCACAATCTTACGATTAATACGGAAGATCATAATTTAACATAAAGGAAAATATATTCTATTGTTTCATTATCCAGATAAATACAAAAAAAATAAAAAAAAATGCTTACAATCAGCAATAAATACATTTTGATAAGTTAAATAAGCATTGACAAGCAAAACTTTCCGTCTGAAAACAGAAAATACCAACAATAATTGTAATGATGCAATAATAACTATATTATAACAACAGTAATAGGGGAAATACAATATTGAATTAATGGTCGAACATTTCAACGATCCGTTTACAACGAAACAATTAGTGGCCACTGAAGTCACATCTTTAGTGGTAATATGAACAGAAGGAATAAAGGAAGGACGTCCTGTCTCTCACACATGTTCTCTCTTACATAATCCAACAACCAGCAGACACTATTTTAGCGTGAGGGATCACATGTTCGAGGGATAATTACCATTTAGCACCACTAGACGCACAAATATCTCTCTGAATGATTCATACAAATCTAAGATGGGTTTTCTACCCCAGATCTCCAAGATTGGAAAAGTAGGAAAGAAATTGTTTGATAGGCACTTAAAGTCCCGACGATCTACCGGCGAGAGTTTTCTGCAAGAAAAGTGGCACTTTCAGGTGTGTAAAGCACATCGTTGCAATAATATTCAGTAGATTCTTTGAACAAGAACATCCTTGAACAATTTAGGAAAAAACTATGCTCTTTAGTTTGAACGCAATAGGGATTTGTTTAACACGTTCCACTGAGGTTTCCGAGACCTCAACGTTTGAGCGGGCCTAGAGGCGAACAGTTCTGGGGGGTTTCGCATTGCATCAGGCATGTTAAGACGTGGGTGAGATATGCTCAAAGTCGACGCTACAGGGTAATATGGTATCTGATTTGACTCAGTGGCTACGAGAACACTGTACTTTATTCCACTTCTCTGCTGTAAACAAACCGAGGACAGGAAGGGATCGCTAGGAGGAAAATTATTCTATCTTTGCTTTGTCCCTCTCAAGGCCTGAGATCTCTGAGGGCCAGGTTTTAGTCATCAGAGATAGAGAGTCTGCTGAAGATGGGGAGGCGACGTGTCGCGTCCAGCACGGGTGACTCGGATCCGCTCTGGCTGCCCAGGCTGCTCTGGTAGCCCTCCTGGTCGGAGAGGGAGTCCGGAGGGCTTGGTGGGGACTCGGACATGGGCCTGAAGAAGGAGGGTGCGGTGGGTGAGTGAGGCCCGGGCAGATCAGGAACAGTGGTGCCACCTAAACTGGGCCCAAACAAGTTGGCGAGCTCTTGGCTCGAGTAAGTGAAGGGGTTGCTGGGCCACTCGTTGATGTCTTCGGTGGAAAATATGGGCGGAGGTGTGACAGAGGTCGGGCTGTCCTGGGAGCCACCTGAGCTTGGGAAACCGGCAAAACTGTAGCTGTGATGAAGGCGTGGGCGCTCCATCTTGTTGAAGGCAGAGAGCGGAGGGGGTCCGCGGCGCTCCTCGGCGTTGTGGATGAAGTGGCAGCGCGGCCCGTAGGGGCAGTAACCAATGCTGTGGAAGGTGCGACAGAGCTCGGTCTTGTACTTGGGGTGGCGATTCAGACTACGAAGCTCGTGCATCCCGTGGGCAAACTGGCACTTGTCACCATATTTACAAGTGCCGTTCTCCTCGAAGGGTCTGCAGAGTTCGGTTTTATAGCGGCTTGAGTTGATCTGGCTGTTTCCGTTGGCACTAATGCACGTGATGTTGCTCGGCCTTAGACGCTCCCCGGTTTCTGAGAAGGACCGGTCACGGAAGCGGTTCTCCTTGTTGTTACTGCTCCCATTCATGGAAACCGAGCCTTCCATTTTGAGACTGTTAATAAATTGGTTCTGCATTGATTTGGAGCTGGTAACAGACACAGAGTGCCGTCGCTGGTAGAGTCCCATTGAAGGGGTACCCACCACCTTCCTGTCCAGCAGGGACCCGGTGGAGGTAAAGGGGGAATTGGCACCGGTGGAGGGGACAGACTGTATATGGGGACTGGAGAGGGGACTGTTGTAGGTCATCATCTTATTGTTCTGAAAATAAAGTAAACAGAACAATGTCTCAAAAAGTTGGCATGATTGTTGACTCGCTTTGCTCCAAATACCACCAGTGGGAGTTTATGACATGCTGATGGTATTTTCTGTCTTCAGGTCAGCTCTAAGGTCTGTTTTTTAAGAGATAACACTAATGACCCAGCACTTTTAACCCACACAGCAATCTCTTTAAAAGTGAAAGGTTTATTAAGTCATAAAACCGAATACGCAAGACTCGTGTATCATGTGAAATGGTGCACATTAGCGTGATGATTTATTGCTTAACCAATAACTACGAAACACTCTCATTAAGTTACAAAACCGCGTTACTTTTTCTGGCTTTCTATAAGGTAAGAGAAAATATGCATTTTAATAAAAAATAATTTTTTGTATTGGGGATGATAAAAAATGACCACTCAGTCTATGTTTGAATTCTAGGTAGGTCACACTTTGGCCATTTTGTTGCATCTTTTTTAATCTTGTTCACCAAGTGTCAGTTTTTTAAAAGTGGCGTGTCAAGTTTTATGGCAAAAAGTGTGTCATTTACTTGCCCCATGCAATTTTATGCTGAATGGTGAGGAATACTTTTTTTTTTTTTTTTTGGTAAAATTACAGCACATGGTGAGAAATTAAAGTTGTAATTGACTGATAATATTCCCATCAGTAATAACTCTCAAACATAATTAGCAGTTGGTTCAATTAAAATATTATGTGACATTATAGGGTGGATATAACTGATACCATACACTACTGGCTCTCGCAAGTCATGTGATCGCAACACTATGTTTAAAATGAATGATGGCTTCAGAAGAATCACAATATTGCTCACCAACTACTTTTGCTTAAACATAGGTGTTTAAATCAATTAGCAATTTCGATTAAAGCGAAATGCCACCTAATGACATCAGACTATCAACTCCTTTTGTTTTAGAGGGATGGTTCACCCTATAAAGAAAATTATGTCATTTACTCGCTGTGATGTTTTTCCAAACCTGCATGAGTCTTCTGATGAACTAAAAGGAAGATATTGTGAAGAATATTGGTAACCAGACATTTGACAGTAGCCATTGAC